TGAAGCAATTACGATAGCATTTTCATTAACCGTTTCTTGCTTATGAAAAGGCCGCGAAATCTGAAACAATTTCTAATTTCATTTTATATTATTTTTTTGAAATTCAAAAGTGACTAAACAAATAAATTTTTACCGGTAATTACTCAACTCTTTTTGAAAATAAAAACTTTGATTCTATATTACATTCAGAAACAGTTTTAAGAATCATTTGATCGTTATGAAAAAAATGTTATTAGTCTTTGTTTTAGAATTTATCAGAAACGAAATGTGTACTGCTGCCAAATGGGATCACGGTAGTGTATCATGTAGTTTCGTTTTGCTAATATTTATGATTTTTAAACTTTTCTATGATTTTACCGTGTAAATAAAACTTCGAAGTATAATTGTAAACCTGATTTGAATATCAATAGTTTTATTTAGTTCTTACCGCTCTTCAAAGATAATTAAATCTAAATAAGTAGATGTGTTCAACGTTTGTATGCTAGTCATTATCTTCAGTTTTTCGTTTTTTTTTTTTTTTGTTCAAAATTTGTTGTAAAATTGTTGAAAGAGAAAATGTATAATCCAAATGCAATAAAATAATAGGCGCTCATCCATTATTCAAACAAAATTATGCTACGTTAGGTTGACTTCGTTTAAAGTGTTGATGATTTGTTGCAATTGTTTGTGCTGGAGCGAGTTTTGGCGCCATGTTGTTTAAAATCTACAAACGAATTCAAAAGAATAAAAACTAACATTTTGATTACTTAATTATCATCCGCAGATGCAACGTTAAATACATTCAAAATTTTGGATTTGGGATTTGAGTTGTCAGTATGTTTATTCTGATTTTTCAGGATTTTAATTTTATTAAATTTAAAGTGGTGATCATTCACAATAATCAACATGAGAAATATGACTCCTCAAAACAATTTTCAAGATATTTTTGGGCCTACCTGAGAATCTTTCAATTATTCGCTTGTGTAGACATTAAAGCAACACATACACACACACACAACACACACGCACACATACCTATGTTTCTCCGAGCTGATGGCGCTCTATGTACCTCTAGCCACATATTATTAATAATTAAAAAGCACACCTATTTTTGCACAAATTTGCACTGGAGTCATTCATTTTTAATGGCAATCTCGCTGCAAATTCACAGGTGTGTGGTGCCACCTTCATATCTAGAAATACCTTCTTTCCGTCACAAAATTATCTAACTCCTGACTAAGTTTTCAAAACTAAAAATAATATAGTGATAATAATAATAGGTGTGAAACTAAAAAATGTGTTTTTAGTGTAGAAGAGATGAGAGTAAGTGAGAATAAAAAATGAAAGAAAGAGAGAAAAGTGGAGTATGAAAAAATATTTTCCTTCATTTGTATGAAATTTAAAATGTTTATAAATCGCGCCGAAAAAAATTCATTTTGTTCCTGAACATGATGAAATTGTTGAGTGGTGAAATTGGTTAAATTTATTTTGTTTCATTTTGGTTTTGTTAACAACAACAAAAAATATAGCCAAAATATTATCCAGCAAACAATATTCACACATTTTTATTTATTGATCGTGAAGCTCAAACTGTCAAAAGAACTCTTCCTATTTAGTCTACTTGTAGCCTTTGAATAACGTTTCTTACCAACCAAAATATGTCAGAGTTAGCCGACTCCTACATACATATATGAATCTACAAAAGTTTACCATTCATAGTAATTTCTTACGTGTTTCTCCTTCGTTAAAGTGTGCATCTGTACTTACTTGTGAATAGTTTTAAATATATTTGAGCAAGAATATTTTCAGAAAGGTTCAGTCCGTTCGTTATTTGTAATCATGTTCATTATGTCATGTCAATTTGTTAAAATTGATGTAAACAAATATTTGTTGTTGTAATCAATGGAGTTTTGTAAAATTGCCACAAACTCTTGGCTTCATTTCAGTTTTTCTCTTTTGAACGTTTTTAGTCTTTATCCAAACTATACTTATTAAATAATGCAGAACATACGATGAAAAGAAAATAAGTTGTTCATTATGAAGATGACAAATTATTTTGTTCTTTCCAGTATTTTTATAAAAACTTGAAGTTTATTGAAAAGTTTGATTTATTATATAAATCTTGAAAAACAAATTTCTATTGAATGAAATAGAATAAAATGCTTTGAATAAAATTATTTAACACGTTTTGGATTTATTGCTAACAATAAACATATTTAACGAAGTTCGCTTTTTAATACATTTTGTTTATTCTTGTGATTGTAAAGTAGGTGGACACTTGAAACTACATTTATACGCATTTTCTTTGTGCATGAAAAGTTTTTAGATTCCTCCGTTTTGAAAGATTTTTTTTTTAAATATTTAATATTTGATTTTCAATTTAAATTTTTTCCATTATATTCTTTCCATCTTTTTTCGTCTAACCAGTAATTTTTTATCTTTGGTATTTTTAACCAAATCTTAATTATTGAAAGTAACATTTGCATGAATGTGCACAATTTTTGTGGTGCATTCTTCAACGTGAGTATTGAATATATACTATTTGAATATTCGTTTGCACTGTAGCAGACCTGCTCGTGAAGAAGTAGCGTAAATGTAGGTTAAGCACATCAGGTCACATGTTTTAATGATAGGAGGAGGAACGGAATGGGGGACAAACATTTTTGTCTGCCTCTGCTCAACACTCTCAACATGCATTCTGCCTATTTGCTTAAGCAGTCTTATTTATATGCTGCTGGCTGGCTTTATGTTCACAAATGTGTTCAAAATAATGCGTTGTAGCGTAAGACGTGAAAAATATTTTCTCATCGTTCTTTACATATCTTATTGATTCATAATAATACAAAATGTCCAAAAATGCTTGTTACGTGCGCCATTAGGTACAACGGCCAATTTCTTTACAATAAAAAGAATTGAATTTATTTCGATTGTTTTGTAAAAGGTTGATTATTTTTTTAATTCATAATTCTTTTTGATTATTTTAATCTTTTTAAACGTTGAATGTTCACGTTGAGCAGCGGTGCACCACTTGATGTTATCCTACCAGTGACAAACTGCTTCCACGTAGGCATGTTTCACCCCTCTCATCACCATTCAATTTTTAACAACTTTTTTATTACCTTTCCACTACTGTGTGTGCTATTTTACAGTTGCTTGCGTTCAATTCAAATGCTTGCAACTTCAACCAAACATGACGTGTTGTTAGTATAACTCTTCCAACTATGTGAAAATAATATTACAGAATAATATTAATTTAATGCGTTGTAATATTTTGTCAGCATGTACTTGTTCCAAGTCTGAGAAAAATGAATGAAAATGAAAAAATGTAATAAATTGATAAGAGGTACTATGTAGGCACACAAATGTGTGAACATAGTTTAATTTAATGGGCTATTGACCGTTGAGCACATGTTATTTATCAGAGCACTGCTATTTTAAATTTCTACTCATCCTATATGAAAACTCAGTCTTCGTATTATTGATTAGGCTGACCTATATCTTTGTTCGGATGAAATTTTAAAAATTGAAAAAAATTTACGTTCAGTTTATCTCAATGTTTCTAGTATGAAATACTAAATCGATTTATTTACGTAAAATGTTTGGAAAATAAAATAAATAAATATATATATATATTTGTGATTTCTTAATTATTGTTTTATATTCCATAATTTTTAATAATTTTGTTGGGCGCATCATAGACTTAATTTAAATATATAAAATATAATATTATCCAATTTTTAAAATGAAAATTTTCTTTGGAATGTGCAATAATCATCATTAAAATTTGAACTGTACTCAGGCTCCAACTGACGAGACAGGAAGGCACAATTAACGAATTCAATCTTCTGCCCGATTTTGTTCATGTCTTCTTCATTTGAAAGTTCGAAAATTTCATCCATGTTTTGCTTGTAGGCAGTTTGCCAATTGCTAATCCAATCTCTAACCACGTCGTTCAAGTTACTTAGCGAACTTTTCTTTCTTTCCTGACACTGGCGAAGGCTCAGCTCCTCAAGAAATCTTCCGTACGCTTCATAAGTATCGTACCTCAACGCAAGAAATTTCTGCAACCCCTTAATATAGTCTCTCAAGTATGTTGAGAAAATAAAAAATAGCTCTTTAAATGTTTTTTCGCTTTGAGTCAACGATATCTTGTTGGTATTGCTGTCATCAGGGAAGGTTTCCTTTACAAACAAAACTGACCTTTTGACAACCGACCTCTTTCCTTTCGGTGTTCGATTTTTAATTAAAAACCATTTATGAGATGTGTCATTATCCAGGCCGTAGAACGCATTTTTTGCTGGATGATATTTCGTCCGGCTGCCGCAGATGATAGTTACATTCATACCATAAAATTGTTGGGTTGAATGTTCACCGTCTACGAAGCATTCTTGCTCATTAATGCAAATACTCGCCAGGTTTTCTTCGAATTTTTTCAATTTGTAAATCGTGCCAGTCGGTGGGATGTAAAAGTCTGATTCGATTAGTGCGACAGATAAATTTGTTATTGTTGTGTGTGGATCGCATGTAAGACGCACTACATTGTATGGCAGAGATAAATTTTTAAGCAAAATCGCACTAAACACCACAACTGTTGCTTTTAATTTCATTTTTCTGTTTTCTAATCAAATGCTAAAAAAAATTAACACAACTGTTCATACAAATTAATAAATAACAATTGTCGGCGGTTACTAACTGCTATGTTTGTTGATGGTGACGTAATTTGAAAAAAATGCGTGAAGCGTTTAATTTTAATGAAAATCAATCGGAATGACTTTGGAAGGTGCATAATGTGTTTTGATATTTCATTCTTTGGTCTTTTTTATGATTTCCTTTAAAAAAATAAAAAAATTGTATAAAATAATTTTAATTTGTGTATATCACTAAATTTTATATTTAAATAATACAAGTTGGCAGTAGTGTGTCCATTCCATTGATATGTTTCATCTAAATTACATGAAATAACGTTATGAAACACGAACTAAAACGATTGAAAACATTTCATTCGCCAGGTGAATTACATATTAACTACTAACGAGTTTTTCTTTTAAGAAAGCCACCCACGATTCCATATCCGTGACAGTTGCCGCTGAAAACAAAAACGTTCGCCATGGTGTCATCAGTCTGTAAGATGTAGCAACAAGTTTTAAATTCAATAAATATATCAAAAATAAATATAATTTATTATTTTATTTCTGAAAGTTTTAAGAAATTTGGAGCTCTGGTCATGTAACTCTTGAAAACCACATTAAAAGCAATAACATTAGATAAAAAATATGAATACACACGAACGTGAACTTACATGAATGTATTTTCTTTGCCAAAAGCCTCCGAAAGTGTGTTTGTCTTCCTGCAACACGTACAATCCCTTAGGTCGATAGTTCCCTTGGGCGTGAAGTCCTCCTCTCTTTGATAGTACTTTAAATCCTTCGAGTCCGCAACGACCCATCTTTCCTTCCAATTCTGTCAGTTGCCAATTTAATTTGTTCGCGTAATCCAGAAGTGGGCAAACTACCACGAAGCTATTTTATGCGGCCCGCGAGGCCTTGTTCGCCGAAAAAAGGTCGTCCATCCAGACATTATGACCAAAAAAGGAGTCACAAATCTAAAAAAAAATTTTTATCCCGGGACGAAAAAATTTGCTAAACATATGCAGCCCTTCAAAGGTAAAATAGTTCTCAATGCGACCCTCAAAGCAAAACGTTTGCCGACCCCTGGCGTAACCAATTTGTAAATTCATTTTTTTTATACTTATTTTGCCATTCATTTATTATTTATTCAGTTCACTTTTTATGTATCCTAATTAAAACATAATTAGTAAAATACTTTTGTTAAATGTAAACTGTATATTTAACTTAACTTTTTAACAAGAATCTGAAAATTAATTCCAAACATGAGCAGAAAGAGAGCACCAACCTTTACAAGTCCTCCCTGTTTTATTAGGAACCCCGTTTTGACCGACAAATCCTGTTTTATATTTTGTAGGAGTCAATAGTTTTAATTTAAACACTTGTTTTGAAATAAAGTTTTCATATTTTAATTTAAATTTGTAAATTACGCTTAAATAATTTTTTAAATTAAAAACTTTTCCAATCGAAAACCTCATTACAATGAGTCATAGTGTTTAAATATAAAATATACACGCGTTTCTGACAATGCAGTTTCAAATCACCGGCAAATCACTCACAGAGCTCTTGCTGGTTGGCGAAGTTGGACTCATCTCGCCGTGGATAATAACCGTCGGCTCCAGCACAGTTTGTTTGTTTGCTTGTTTGTGTTTGGGGACCAAGACCGGTGCCGTAAAAACTACTAATTCACCTGCATTCATGATGTTGAGCGTCACAATTGGCTATTAATTAAAAAGTTAAAAAATGTTTTTCAAAAATCTATAACAATTTTCTTCAATAACCCATTTAAATGTAATACACATGAACAGTTTATTGAGTTGAATTTGAAGAAGGGCAACATGAGAATTGCCGAATTCAATAACCAAGAAACATTTTTTTTAAATAAATTGTAATTAAATTGCCTTGAAGTGTGAAGAAAACATTTTAAATGCCTAAAAAATGTTTTATTAAATTTTTAATTAAAATTTGAGTTTTACCAGAACTGCCGCCTATTAATGGCCTGTTCATAAAATGCTCCAAGAACTCAGAAAACTTTTCAAACTTTGCCAGACCGAATGTTATTTCTGAGGACGTAACGCTAATTGGGAAATGTTTTACGGATGTCTTTGCTCTGGTTTGAAAAAAATTAATCAACTATTTCATAATTCAAACAATCAATGTAACTAAACTCTTTCGCAAAATTTAAAAAATTTGATTGTTTTTAAATGCCAATAAATCTGAAAAATTACTATTAATTAAAAATTTTACAATACATTCCAATAAGTAAGTATTAAATAAATACTTCAACATAATTTTCTTAAAACCATCAACATTAAAAAAATACGGATGAAGAGAATAACATCTCCAACCTAACGGAGAGTGTGTATGTGTCGGGTGTGGAGCTCGGTCTCAACAGATACTGCCCAACTTTACATGACGTCATCAGGATTCCTTCTGCCTTCTCACAAGAATCAACCAACGGATGATACCACCTAACAAACAAACAAGATCAAAATTATTTCAAGTCTATAAAAAAATTAATTTCTAAAAGATTTTAAATAAATTTCTAAAAAGTTTAACTTCTAAAAAATTATTTTAGCAAAACTTTTTTAAATTATGTAAATGTTAAAAGTTAAATAGTTAAATTATCACTTCAGTTCAGCGATGCATGTTGGCGTTTTATCTTGTGTTGGTCTGACTTCTAGTGACGTATCCATTAGAATTTGAATTAGTATATGATGCAAGGTAGTTTATATTACAACAGAAATACGTGAATTTAATTTTTCAACTTTTCAATAATTATCTACAAAGTAAAATATGTATCAAAACGTTACCTGACTTTAAATAACTAGTGTGTTAACAACTCACTAAAAGAAGATCTCTAGATAGCTCCGATTATGTTCAACTATAACAATCACAATTTAAACGCTACGTAATCTTTTCACAACACACAATTAATATTGCATGTTTCTCTCTCCCTCTCTTTCTTTCCTCTCTCTCTCTCTCTCTCGCTCTTTCTTGCTCTAAACTGTTCTTTCTTTTTTTAAGTCTTTCTATTTCTCCTCTATTGATAAATATATTTGTATACATTAATACATTAGTGCTTGTATGTTTATATATGTATAAGTATGCCTATTTGAATGGCTCTATGTGTGTAAGAAAGAATGTGATGGCAAACACAAAAAGAGACGGCCAATTAATTGAATAAAATGGTCATATTTTTCTGTCAATAAATCAAACATATATATTCTGTGAGTATCTGTGAATTTGTTTCAGTATTTGTGTGTGAGTGTGTTTGAGTACTTATTTAAGATTTTTAAGAAGAAATTCTTTTGCATCATACATTATATTTGATCATTTATTGCTTACGTTCACGAAAATTTTGTTGTGTAATTTTGTTTTGGACAGAAAAAACAATCAAAATTACTATTAGCAAACGACAAGACCAAGGGAGATTCAAGACAACTTTGAAGGGTGGCCAAAACTGAAAATTTTTTGTGAGTGCGCTTAAATTTGGTTGTTGGTGAGCTTTTTTTGGTTAATCCCAAAACCCTTTGTCATTTTGCTATTCAAAACAGTGTTTTTATAAATAAAATGTAGTTAAACAGTATTTAGACTGAATTTAAAAGCAATTAATGAAATGATTGTTGAACCGTTGGTGACGTGAGGTGGATATTTTTTTATTATAATCTAAAAACCGGTATTTCAAGTTTAAATAAAATTAAAATGATCATGACAAATAAGAAAACCAAAAATATTACAGAAGATGATTTTAAAATGGCAATAAGGGAAAGTTAATTTGAAATCTGAGAATATTATGCTCAGTAAATGCAACATAAACACACTCATACAATCATAAACATATATATATATATATATATATATATATATATATATATATATATATATATATATATATATATATATATGAATGAGTGGGTATATTAGGTTGTAATTCTCATCAAAAGTTCCTACAGACGAGTCATGAAAAGTTTGGGTAATACACAAAAACGCCACATCAATGTAAAGTACACACACAGGATCAGCACAGCGCACAGTCAGGCAAGAAGATGGTCGTCTTAACTCAATTTTCTTATTCACATTTCTAAACAATCCATTCACTAGCTCTTAACTTTCAACGCCAGTCACGCACATAAAACGCTTGTTTCAACAAAACATAATAAACGTTAGCTAGACACTTACGTATATAACATACATTATATATATTATATACATATATATATATATATATATATGTATATATATATATATATATATATATATAATTTGTTATATATATATATATATAATTTGTTATATATATATATATATATATACATATACATATATAACAAATTTTATCGTGGCCCAACAAGTCATATCTTCGGGTCTCCTAACTTTTTTGCTGAATAAACTCATTATTGAATTGAATTTATATATATATAGCCGTATTTGATTTTCTCTGCGTTTTTGTAATTTTTGTGATATTTATATCGAGGTTATATTGTTAATTTTGGATCCCTTTTAAAGCATAAATTAAGAGGAGTATCACCGTATTTTTATTTTTTGAATTAGTTAACAATTTAATTATATAATTTAATTTAGAATTAACTTGTATTGTTAAATAGCTTTTTTTAAACTAGTTGAATATAATTTGTTGTCGTCAACGCATAAGGAGTGTTGTGTACGAACATTAACTTGTATTCTAATGTTCAATATTATAAATTGAAAGTTAAACTGTATTTTGGTGAAAATGAATAAAAATAAAGGTTTGCAATGTTCAGAGGCGAAAGGTCAGGGGAAGGCTGTTAAATGTTCTCAGTGTGAGTACTTTGCGCATGCGAACTGTGTTTCAATCCCTGAAGAGGTTTGCAACCTCTTGGATTCCAGCACCAACCTCAGATGGTTCTGTGATAGATGCTCAAGTCTGGGACCTAACATTAAAAAGTTGACCAGCTCTGTCGATTCTCTCAGAAAAGATGTTTTCAACAAACTCAACACATTGAACGATTTGAATGCAAATATAAAGTCAGAGCTCGAGAATATCAACGCAGCAATAGAAAGTAATAAAGAAAAGTTAAACCAACTTGAGAGCTCTGATATTTTTCGTGGTGAATTGAACATCTTGAAGAATGATATGAAAGTATCATTTGCAGATATCGTCAGTCGCGGGATTAAAAGACACACTGATGATATCAAGGCTGAAGTAAAAACAGTCCAAACGACAATAAATGATGCTAAACAAATCAAAGAAAGAGAAAATATTCTAATTATGTTTCATTTGCTTGAGAGTGGCAGTGATCGGGTGGACGTCATGAAAATTCTGAAACACCTGTCTAATAATGTTGTTGATGCTAACCTAGTTCATCTAACTAGACTCGGAAAAAAAATCAGACGATCATACCCGACCGCTGCTTTTGAAAATGGATAGTGTTGACATAAAAAACATGATAATTAAAAACGTCTCTAAATTAAAATCGCTTGACGTCAGCCTCGGTCGCATCGGACTCAGTCACGATCTCTCCCCAGAGCAGAGAAAGGAACTGAGGTCAAAGATAGAGGAGGCAAGGGCATTGGAAGTTTCTGACAAGGATTTTTTATACCGTGTAATAGGTCAGGTTGGCAAATGGAGGGTGGTGAAATTTCCGGTAACTCAGAGACAGACATAGGTGTTCAACTGACGAATACTAATTATGTTGGTGGTGATGATGGCTTTCATGGTGACTCTCTGACGACACAGAGTATTGGTAGTAGTAGTTTTGTTGGTAATGTTCGTGGGTATGATGATGGCCGTGGTGATGATATTAGAAAATATTCGATAGCAAATTGTAATGTTAATGATTTTAAAAATTATGGTCATATTAGTGCAAGTGATAGAGTTAGTGGTAAAGATGGTGGTGACAATTTTAACATAAAAGATGTTAGTTTTAATTTGAATAATAATAGTAATGTTGTTGGTGGTGAAGATTTTGGTGTTCGTAGTCTGACGCTTGGGGTTATTGGTTATTAGTAAAAATGGTTGTGGTAAAGATGATGGTAGTGATTGCGTAATAATAAAGGGTACCGGTAATGATCGTAATGAAAATGGTGGTTTTAATGATCTTAAAAAAGTAGGTAATAACAATGTAATGAAAGGTGGTGCTGTTGGTAGAAATATTGGTGGAATTAAAAATGATCGGACTAATAATAACTTTTGTGTGGTTAAAATAAAATTGGATTTACTTAATATAAGATAGATTGGCTCAAAGTACAACATCATTTATGATTTGATCAGTGATGGTTTGGATATTTTTGTTGTTACTGAATCATGGCATGGTTCATCAGAAAATCCCTCCATTGCGTTATCTACTCCTCCTGGTTACCGCTTTGTAGATTGTGTAAGAGATCACGACCCTCTCCATGGTGAATTGATAATATTTTTTCGTCTATGTTTAAAATGTAAAAAAATAGCCTTACCTACAGTTATCACATTTGAAGTTTTGGCGGTCAGTTCACATTTAATAGTCAGGAGTTTATTTTGCTCGCTATTTACAGACCGGGTTCTGCACAGCTGTCTGGATTATTTTTTAAAGAACTGATTTCTATTCTGAAAAACATTACAGTACTCAGTTCTCGAATTATTTTAACCGGAGACTTCAATGTCCACGTTGAAAAGACGAATGATCCTTATGCTGCTAATTTAAATGATATCTTCGATAATTTTCAACTCATCAATCGTGTAAAAGCACCAACACATTTACGTGGTGGTACACTAGACTTGGTAGTAACCTCCGAGGATTTTCCAGTTCATGATTGTTTAGTCCATCCAAGTGGAATTTATTCTGATCATAATTTTATTTGGGCTGAACTGTCGATGACCCGAGGATATTTGGTTAGAATTAAAAAAGTTTCTAAAATGTGGAATCAGACGAATGTTGATGACTTCATCAAACTCGTGCTTGAATCTCCACTCTCAAAATCATGTCAAGGCAATGAGGTAGACAAGGAATTGCATTTATTTAACAACGAGTTAAAATCTATTGCTGATAAAGTTGTCCCTATTAGTGCAGTGACCGCCAATAACGTTCGTATGGCTCCGTGGTTTGATAATGATTGCAGGTTGGCCAAGCGTTTGTGCAGAAAAATGGAAAAAAAATACAGAAAAAGCTCACAGTTGATTCATCAAGATGAATGAAAAACAGCTTTGAAGAGTAAATCGGAACTTTTCTCTAAAAAACGTCGTCAGTATTGGACAAAAATTGTTGATGACAATAAGATGAAACCAAAAAATCTTTGGCGGGTTGTGAACAGCATTCTTTGTAGGGGTCGTAACGATAAATTCTGCTCGGATATGGATGAACTAACACCTGATCGATTTATGTGCTATTTCAATAAAAAGTTAAGCAAGCTGAGAGATAGTGTCAACAACGATGCTCAACCGAGCTTGGCAGAATTCCAATCAGGTGTCAATAATGGTTTGTTCTCAACGTTTTCTATGGTTTCTGAAGAAGAGGTAATGCAGTTAGTTAAAAATTCACCTACAAAGTCGTGTCAACAAGATGTAATACCTACCCACGTATTAAAGAAGTTTATAAAACTATTCGCACCATTTTTGGCAGGCCTGATAAACAGCAGTTTAAATGTGGGACAGTTTCCTTTTGGCTGCAAGCACGCTATCATAATTCCGCTGCTGAAGAAACATAATCTAGATGAAAATGATGTTGGGAACTACAGACCAATTTCTAATCTGTCTTTCCTATCCAAAATTATCGAACGTGTGGTTGCCAGGCAAACACTCAGTTACTTGAACAATAACAATTTATTGCCGAAATATCAATCTGGATTCCGTCAGTACCATTCAACTGAAACTGCTCTTTTGCAAGTTTTCTCAGAAGTGTACGGGGCAATTGATGAACAAAATGTGTCAATGCTAGTCTTTCTTGATATGTCATCCGCATTTGATTGCGTAGATCACAAAGTACTTTTAACAAGACTACGTTGCAGTTTTGGAATCTCTGGTGCTGTTCTGAGGTGGTTTGAGTCGTATCTGGTAGGTAAATCACAACAGGTATCATTCGGTGGTAAATTGTCTGAGGTTAATGTTATGCTGTTTGGTGTGCCACAAGGTTCGGTTCTAGGTCCTATTCTATTCCTGATCTATACATCTGAAGTACTAAAGATAATAGAATCATTTGGTTTTTCAGGTCATGCTTTTGCGGACGACTTGCAAATTATTGTTACGAGCAGGCCAGATTCTTTTAAATCAGAATTGGACAAACTGGTTAAATGTTTGTCTGGGGTCAATAAGTGGATGCAAAGCAATGGTTTAAAACTAAACCAAAACAAGACTGTTTTTTTTACCAATTGGAACATGGCAGCAACTTTCAAGAATAGATATGAATTCAATAACTGTTAATGATGAGGTCATCCCATTTTGCCAGACAGCAGCTAATCTGGGCTTCATGATTGATTCAGGTTTGTCAATGAAACAACACATTAAGAAGCTCTCAGCCGAATGCATGTTTCAAATCAGGAAAATCAATCAAATTTGACGATCCCTAGATACATCCACGTTGCAGACGTTGGTTCATGCATTTGTGCACTCACGCGTCGACTATTGCAACAGTTTGTTTTATGACTTACCTGATCGATCCATGGCTGTACTTCAATCAATACAGAATCGAGCCGCAAAAGTTGTTGTTGGAGCTCTAAAATACGATCATGTGTCTCCAATATTGAAGAAACTTCATTGGCTAACCGTCGACAAAAGAGTGTTGTTCAAAATTTCAACACTTGTCTACAAGTCTATCAACGGTCTAGCTCTATCTTATTTGTCTGACAGGTTCAAAAAGAGATCTTCAAAAGCATCTGAAACACACTTGAGATCCGATGTTTCAAACCTGCTGTTGATCCCAACAACGAGTCTCCGTATAGGCTCTCGTAACATTGCTGTTTTTGGACCAACTGTTTGGAACGACCTGCCTGCTGTTCTCAGAAATCTGGACCTAAACCTGCGTGACTTCAAGAAGAAACTGAAAACTCATTTATTTTCATTGTAATGCATTATTGATCGATTCTTTCTGTTTGGTCGACATGTTCTAAATATTATTTCGTATTTTCGTTATATTGAATCGATTACTTTTCTGTTTATGACCAAATTTTAATCTTATTTCTGTGCGATGTATTATGATTTCTCGTTTGTTATTTCAATTATGTTGTTAAGTTCAGTTTTTGTTAGATAGCGCTTTTGAGATTCGTTTAATTAGCGCTTCATAAATGTTTCAATAATAAAAATAATAATAATAATATATATATATGTATATGTATGTATATATATATATATATATATTTATTAAAACCTGCTGTGTTTATATATATGTTTATATATATATACACATAATATATATAAAACATATATACTAGAATATATATATTATATATATATTCTATATATATATATAT